GCAGCTGGAATTTTAGTAAAGTCAACCAAACCTTTCCATTCGTCTTCGAATGGTGGAGGAACGTCAACTGGTGGCCATTTACCAGTCAATTGAGCATTTGCGAAAAATAAATTTGCAACTAAAAATGTTGAAGTTAAGAAAATGTTTTTTAATACCATTTTATCTATTTATATAAATTTTTATATTTTATATTATTATTAAAGAAAAAGATAAGAAAGGAAATGAATTGTTATGAAGGGAAAGGAGAATGTTGGGTTAGTGTTAATGAATGTAAAAAAATATATATATAGGGAGAGAGTGAGGAGAAGGGGATGAGGGAATGAAAACTGAATATTATTGTTTTTGTTAAAAAAAAAACGTCTTTGGAATTCATCATTATTTATATACTAAAAAATTCACATTTCTAGAAAACTTTATGTGGAAAACTTAATTAATTTCGCGCATTTGTGATCCTTACATGTACAAATAAATAATTGCAATTAGCGAAAATTACTCGTTCTGAACGATTTACATTGCACACCACATTTATTAAAAAATAAATATTTACATCTGTTTTTGTTGATTGATTAATTAATAATTATATTTATAGAAAAAAGAGTCGAGTCTCCAAGGGTCACTACAAAATATTATTATTATTGATTTCAAAGTACCAAACATTCCAATAATAGAGAAGAAAACCAATATTTGTGTCATAAATATCCAACAAACGTCCTACCTACACTTACATTCTGGATTAAAACAATTAATTCGTCGTTAATTATCGATCATTTATTATTCATTGCTTGTTACTCTATGAAAAACACAAAAATGATAATTGACAAAATTGTTGCTGAAACTGTGAAAATTTTTCTTGAAAATTATGCAAGTCCAAGTCCAGGAAGGAACATCGATAGAATAATAACCCAATTACTTATATACAAATGAGTTATAAATCTGTTCATTGAGATTTTCTTGCAGGTCTTGAAGAGGAAGTATAGAAACCTAAAATCCTTAAAGTATGATGATGCTGCCATTCGCAAATTATGACATCCATTAACTCCCCAGATTCAAATTATGAGTTCAAGAGCAGATTATGTGATGCTTTTCACTAGAGCAATTTTCTCGTCTCGAGAATACTGAGAATTGTGCGAATTTGATAAAAATGAGGCATGTAGTTATTTTTATTATTATTAAAGTAGGAAAAAAGACATTATAAAAACTGTTTATTGTTTTTCAAATTAAGATTATTATGACCCATTATAGTCATTATCGCCATTAATAGAAACGGATTAGTTCATCAACTCAAAAAAAAAGACTGAAAAAGAATGAATTTAATTTCAACCGAAGAAGTTGCAAAACATAATAAACGTGAAGATTGTTGGGTAATCATACATAGCAAAGTGTATGATTTAACTAATTTTTTGTCCGATCACCCTGGTGGTATTAAAGTTATTCTTGATCAAGCTGGTAAAGATGCAACCGAAGTATTTGAGCCAATCCATCCTCCTGATATAATTGATCAATATCTAAAACCTGAATCATATGTTGGAATCATTGATCCATCAAATCTTGAAAAAACCTTCAATCAAAACTCAGAAATGGATAAGAGGCGTGAATTGGCAATTCAAAATAAACCTCATCTAAGTGAAATGTTGAACCTATTTGACTTTGAGGCTGTTGCTCAACAAGTTTTGAAACCTGAGTCATGGATTTATTTCAGTTCAGGTGCCAATGATGAAATTAGTTTGCGAGAAAACCATAATGCGTTTCATCGCATCTGGATAAAACCAAGGGTGATGAGAAATGTAATGAATATTGACACCAGTACAACTTTAC